AGACTTCGGAAGGATGTTGGCCTCTTAGGGGCCTCCTTGGGGAGCTCTTTGGCCACTTGGAGCCGTCTTGGAGCGGTCTTGGGGCCTCTTGGGTCATCTTGGGAGCCATCTTGAAGCATCTTGGGGTATCTTGAGCCATCTTGGAGCTCATCTTAGGCTCTCCGAGGCGCTCTTGGAGCCATCTTGAGCCATCTTGGACGCTCCAAACCCTCGCGGGACCCCCCGTCCAGGTCCAGGGTAGGGGGTCGGGTGGAGGGGTAAACCCCTCCCCGAAAGGGAAGAAGCGGGTTGGAAGAGGAAACTCCCTAGACCACCTACGCCCAGTGGGCTGGTGGGACTCTTCCAAAATCCGCCTGCAGGAGGACATGCCCGACCTAACTCTTCTGGGTGGCCGTCGGGCAGCTGTTCGGCACGGTGCTGGAGGGGGCCCGCGGTGAGCTGCGCGCCCAGCTCGCGCACAGCTGGTTCTCGCTCTCGCTCGAGCTCCGGGGCCCCCGCTCCTCTTGGGTGCTGGACATGATTCCCGTGGCCCTGGTGCAGGAGAGTGTTTTTGTTTCACCCTCTGGGCCAGAATGCGCGTTATGTCCCCTGCGCTCCCCCCCCCTCCCGCTCCCCAACGCTCCTCCCCCTCAGCGCGTCCCCGGCACTGCCGCAGCGCGGCCAGCACCGCAGTCTGGGGGGGGCGCTACGTTCTGCCCCCTCCCGTCCACAATTACACAATATGAATGCGGCTCTCCTCTCTCCCCTGGTGGCGTGTGGGGAATGTCCGGCCCCCCTCTGCCCCCCCCGTGCCGTTTTTTACGCACAGGATTCCCGGGAGTTGGATTTTCGCTTGGGTCATGTTTTCAAAATGTTGCTCTCGCTGAAGCGCCGGCCTCATTTTCTGGCTTCATCTCCACGCTTCCGCGCTGAGCTTTTTTGTTGATGCTGCTCTCGCTGAAGCGCCGGCCTCATGTTCGGGCTACCGCTCGTTGCGAATCGTGCTCCCGCTGCAGCGCTGGCCTCATTTCCGCGCTTCCGCTCGTTCCGAATCATGCTCCCGCTGCAGCGTTGGCGTCATTATTTCCAGCGCCATGCCACGGCATGGTTTTCGGTCCTTCCAAATAGGCCTCAAAATCTAGAAAATGCCCCCCCCCCCCAAAAAAAAAAACCATCGGAAGTGATTACACATTCGGTGTCGATTCGTTGATTTTTGGGGCCGCGGAAGCCCCGCCCCGATTTGGGGCGTCGCCACGCCATGCTATGTCAGGCAACGCGTCCTCATTTCAACGCTTCCGCGCTGAGCTTTTTTTTGTTGATGCTGCTCTCGCTCAAGCGCTGGCCTCATTTTCTAGCTTCCGCTCGTTGCGAATCGTGCTCCCGCTGCAGCGCTGGCCTCATTTCCGCGCTTCCGCTCGTTCCGAATCGTGCTCCCGCTGCAGCGTTGGCGTCATTTTTTCCAGCGCCATGCCACGGCATGGTTTTCGGTCCTTCCAAATACGTAGGCCTCAAAATCTAGAAAATGCCCCCCCCCAAAAAAAACCATCGGAAGTGATTACACATTCGGTGTCGATTCGTTGATTTCTTGGGCCGCGGAAGCCTGGGGCGTCGCCACACGTCAGGCTACGCTTCCTCATCTCCACGCTTCCGCGCTGAGCTTTTTTTGTTGATGCTGCTCTCGCTGAAGCGCCGGCCTCATTTTCGGGCTACCGCTCGTTGCGAATCGTGCTCCCGCTGCAGCGCTGGCCTCATTTCCGCGCTTCCGCTCGTTCCGAATCATGCTCCCGCTGCAGCGTTGGCGTCATTATTTCCAGCGCCATGCCACGGCATGGTTTTCGGTCCTTCCAAATAGGCCTCAAAATCATTTGGAAAATGCGCCCCCCCGAAAAACCATCGGAAGTGATTACACATTCGGTGTCGATTCGTTGATTTCTTGGGCCGCGGAAGCCCCCGCCCCAATTTGGGGCGTCGCCACGCCATGCTATGTCAGGCAACGCGTCCTCATTTCAACGCTGCCGCGCTGAGCTTTTTTGTTGATGCTGCTCTCGCTGAAGCGCTGGCCTCATTTTCTGGCTTCCGCTCGTTCCGAATCGTGCTCCCGCTGCAGCGCTGGCCTCATTTCCCGCGCTTCCGCTCGTTCCGAATCGTGCTCCCGCTGCAGCGTTGGCGTCATTATCCTCGTGCACAGGGTGTCTAGAGCTCCGACCACTTTATTTCGGCACGGCACCCCTTCCATCACCCACACATTCCACCAGCCAACGCGCCCCCATCCGCCCCGACCCCTTTATTTCGGCACGGCACACCCCTCCGCCCCGATCCCTTTATTTCGGCACGGCATACCCCTCCACAAGCCCTCCGCATCCACCCCCACCCACCAGCCAGCGCGCCCCTCCGCCCCGACCCCTTTTTTTTCGGCACGGCACACCCCTCCGCCCCGACCGCTTTGTTTCGGCACGGCACACCCCCTCCGCATCCCCCCCGTCCACCAGCCAGCGCGCCCTTCCGCCCCGACCCCTTTATTTCGGCACGGCACAACCATTCGCCCCGACCCCTTTTATTCTGGCACGGCACACCCCCTCCGCATCCCCCCACCCACCAGCCACCGCGCCCCCCCGCCCCGACCCCCCTTTATTCGGCCACGCAACACCCCCCGCATCCACCCACCCACCAGCCAGCGCCACCCCCTCGCCCCGACCCTTATTTCGGCACGCCCACCCACGCGCGGCCCCCTATCCGCCACGACCAGTTATTCGGCACGGCAAACCTCCGCCCCGAGCCTTTTATGTCGGCACGGCCCGCACCCTTCCACCGTCGGGCTCATCTGCATCCCCCCCACCCACCAGCCAACGTGCCCCTACGCCCCGACCCCTTTTATTTCGGTACGGCACGCCCCTCCGCCCGACCCCTTTTACTTCGACACGGCACACCCTTCCGCCCCGACCGCTTTATTTCGGTACGGCACACCGCCTCCGCACCCCCCCAGCAGCCAGCGCGCCTCTCCGCCCGACCCCTTTTTTTTTCGGCACGGCACACCCCTCGCCCCGACCGCTTTATTTCGGCACGGCACACCCCCCGCCCCCCTCCCCCACCCACCAGCCAGCGAGCCCCTACGCCCGACCTTTTTTTCGGAACGCCCCCCCGCATCCCTACACTACCAGCCAGCGTGTCCCCTCCGCCCCGCGACCTTTTATTTCGGCACGGCCCCCACTGCCTCCCCGCGCGCCTCCTCTGCATCCCCCCCACCCACCAGCCAGCGCGCCCCGCCGCTCCGACCCCTTTATTACGCCCCCCCCCACCACCCACTGACAAAGCCAGCGCGCCCCTCGCCCCGACCCTTTTTCGTCACCGCACACCCTTCCGACCGACTCCTTCTTTGCGAAGCCGCACGCTCCCTTTCGCCGGCCCCGCGGCGCCGCCCCTCCGCATACCACCCCCGCCACGAAAACGGGTGCACCCATCGCCCCGACCCCGTGCTTTGGCGCGGCAACCGCCCCCTTCGCCCTCCGCGCGCGCCCCATCCGACCCCCCCCACCCTTCAGCCAGCGCGCCCCCTCCGCCCCGACCCTTTGCTTTGGCGCGGACCGCCCCCTCCGCCCTGACCCCAATCATCTAGGCACGGCACCGCCCCCCCCCCCTAACACCCCCGAGCGCCCCCCGCATCACCCCATCATCAGCCAGCGGCCACCTCCCACCACACCCCCATCCCGAGCGCCCCCTCCATCACCCCATTCACCAGCCAGCGCGCCCCCTCCGCCTCCTCCCCCTTCCTTACTGTGCAAGAGCCATGGCGCGCGTGCCACTTGTTTCGAGTGCCATGCCCCGGCATGGACCTGACGCCCCTTATGGCCGCGAAGAAACAGTGCGCTCCAGGCCATCTTCCGGCTGCTGGTGGACGCTTTCCCGCTCGAGCAGGAGAGGATCGTGCGCGCGTCCGGCTCGGTCCTCGGGACGACCGAAGCGGGCACGGAGCAGGACGCGCTGTCGGTGCCGCCGCGGGCGCTCTCCATCTGAGACAGGCAGCCGCCTGCCCAACGGCGGCCGCTGCCGGCCTTGGACCACACTGACGGGCACCGTGCCCACCGTTCCCACTTGGGGCGCTCCAAAGAGGGCCTTGCCTTCGAGGATCGAAGGGGATGCCATCTCTTCCTCGGCGGAAGGTCGGCGGAAGTAAAACGAGGCCGCCTGCGCCGGCGGAAGCTCGGCAGAAGGCGGCGGAAGGAAAAGATGCGTTCCCAAGAGATGAACACGTTTTTGGTCTCCGGGTTTCCCGGATCGGACATGTTGTTCCGTATCCACCCCGGGCGTCCAAAGGTCCTGGACAAGTTGACCCAGGTCGTCTACCAGGAGGTGTTCGGCTTCTGCCCGAGCCAGGAGAGCTTCCACGTCCTCAGGGCGAAGCTCTTCTGCCAGAACGTGCTCGACCACCCCGCCCAGAACCAGGAGGAGTCCATGAGGAGCGAGCTCCGGCGAGAGAAGCAGGTCCGGCGGAACCGGATGGCTCAGCTGCTCCCTCTGGCCTTCGGGGTGGAGGACGGCCTCCCCTTGGAGGACACGCAGCTGTACCACGTGCTGGAGACGCGGGAGCGGGAGAAGGATCAGGCGTGCAGGAGGAGGGACAGGGTTGAGAGCGATGCGATGAGGGGAGCGAACGATGACGTGAAACATGAAAACTCGGAGGTCCGCGCGGATTTCTCGGATCGGCGCTGGGGCTCCCTGGCGGCGCCTCCCCTGGCACGCTCCGCCAGGGAGGGGGGTCCAGCGCGGATCCGAGAAATCCGCGCGGACCTCCGAGTTTTTTTTGTTTATGCCATGTTTCGTTCCCGTAGCGATGTCCCCGCAGAAGTCTCACGTCAGGGACAGCAACATCAGGGACAGTGCAGGCAGCTCGGGTTCGATGGACTTCCTCTTCTCGGGCTTCCTGCCCCTGGGCGCCGAGATGCTCAGCGTGGACCGATATGCCAACTTGTCGGCCGAAGGGGAGGAGATCATGGAGCGCCAGCTGACCCAGCTATACCCCGAGGATGACGACGGGACTGGCTCCTGCACCACGCTGGAGTCGGCCCGCAGCCGGGGCACGACCACGTGGTCCACCACGGCAGACGCGCTCTCGAACTCCCGTGCTCTGGATTGCTTATCTCGAGGAAGAGAAAACTGCACAAACACAAGTCTTCGGAGGTCGTCGCTTTCTTCTTCATGGTTTTGCCGATCGGCGCGGGCCCTCGCCCCCCATGGAGTAGATCTTGCGGCGCCTCCGGCGCCGCCCCTGGCGCGCTGCGCGCGCCAGGGAGGCGGGTGCCCCGAGCTTTTTCGTTTAGGCCGTTTTCTGATCCTCGATAGTCCACGGCACACCTGAGCCTGCGCCACAGATCCAGCCGCACCGCGTCCTCCAGCGGCTCCGGCCTGGTCCGGCAGGAGGGCACCCTGGGCCGCAGGAACGCGCTGAGGGTCGGCGCAGACCCGGCGGAGCGCAGGAAGCGGGAGGATCGGGCGTTGCTGAGGGGGGGGGGGGCGATCGATTGGGTGGGGTGAATCGAAGCAGAACAAACGGCATAAACATAAATTTCTGGCGCTCCGCGCGGAGTTCTTGGATATCCGCGCTTTGGCCCCTCCCCGGCGGCGCCTCCGGCGCCGCCCCTGGCGCGCTCCGCGCGCTGGGGAGGGGGGTCCAGCATGAATCCAAGAAATCCGCGCGGAGCGCCAAAAGTTTATGTTCATGTCGTTTTTTCTTTTTCTACAGCGAGTGGCTTGAATAAGGAACACTTGCTTTTCGAAAGGGGCTCGGCGTTCCTCAGGCTTGCATGCGCTATTTATCATTCCTTGTGCGTCATTGATTATCTGTCGCTCCTGATGTATTATCCTTTGTCGCTCCTTATTTGGGGCTTCTTAGGCCAGGCCTAAGGCTGCATGGGGAGGTGACGAAAGGTGCACTCTTTGGTCCCGTGGAGGGGCCCACATGGGCACGAGTGGCGCACGTCTCCCCCCTGGACGGTTTCCCGAAGGGCATAGGCGACCCGCCCTCCTCTTCTTCCTCCTCCTTTTCCTCATCCTTTTCCTCCTCCTCCTCCTCCTTTTCCTCCTCCTCCTCCTTTTCCTCCTCCCCCTCCTCCCTCCTCCTCCTCCCTCCTCCTCCTCCTCCTCTTCCTCCTCCTCCTCCTCCTCGCCTCTCCCCCCATCCTCCTCCTCCTCCCTACTCTCCTCTCCTCTTCCTCCTCCTCCCTCCCGTCCCTCCTCCTCTCTCCTCCTCCTCCCCTCCTCCTCCTCCTCCCTCCTCCTCCTCATCCTCTCCTCCTCTCCTCCCTCCTCCTCCCTCCTCACTCATCTCGCCTCAATCCCCCCTTTCTCCCTACTCCTCTCCGCCTACCTCCATCCGCTCCTCCTCCTCCTCATCCTCCCCAATCTACATCCTCCTCCTCATCCTCTCCCCTCTCCTCCTCCTCCTCCTCCTCCTCCTCCTCCTCTCCTCTTCCCACCTCCTCTCCTCCTTCTCTTCTTATCCTCCGTCTCTTCCTCTCCTCTTCTTCTACTCGTCCTTGTCCTAGTCCTCAGCATCGTCTCAACCCTCTCCACCTCTTCCTCCTCCTCCTTCTCCGCATCCTCCTCCTCCTCCTCCTCCTCCTCCTCCTCCTCCTCCTCCTCCCCCTCCTCGGGTCGCCTACGGCCCTGGGGGAAACCGTGCACTCTTCCCCCCCCCCATGTGCAGTGGAGTCCCATGCCAACAAAAAAAACACCCTGCTTGCCTCCAGGGCGCCCTGGAGTGCTTGGGCTCCGCTGTTTCTGCCGTGGAGGGCGCGACGCTCCCGCACCAGAAACATCGCTGGACGTCCTGGGGCCTCAGGGCTGGGCTTCTTGTGGAAGGTTCCCTATGGTTCCCTGTGGTCGGGCCTCCTCGCTCGGCGGCGAGCGATGGGGGGAGAGTGAGCAGGGGCGGGGCTTCTCAGAAGGCTCGTAAGCCCCCCAGGCTTCCGAGAAGTTTACGAAGGCTTCCCCGAAAACAGAGAAAATGTCTCAGAAGGCGCGAGGGCTTCTGAGAGGTCCCGCCGCCTTCCGAGAAGGCCTTCTCCTTCTCGCTTCCCCCCCTCGCTCGCCGCCGAGTCGCCCCCCCGCTGGCCCGCGCCCCAAAGGAGGCGTTGATGGGGCGGCTCGAGAAGTCCGTGCAGGCGGGGGCCACGCTGCGCACGGTCCTGGTCTCGCCCGTCGTCGACCGGCTGGCCCCGAGCGGCGGTGACCGCGGGCTCCTGCAGAAGCCGTTCTTCGAGGCGCGCGAGCTCCAGATGAGGCGCCCCAGGCCACCAAGAAGAATAACAGCAGTAAAAAACACAAGAAGAATAAGAAGAAGAAAATTAGCCTGGCGAAGGACCCAACCATATGCAGTTGTGAATGCCGCAATTGTGCTGGGTGGTGGCGGACGCATGCGGGCGGTGCCACTGGGACCTTCGGTGGAGCTCCTTATGGGGCCACGAAACGCTGTACTGGGTGGGTGAGACGCGGTCAGCAAGGGCTGTGCTGCGTGGTGGCGGACGCATGCGGGCGGTGCCATTGGGACCTTCGGTGGAGCTCCCTATGGGGCCACGAAACGCTGTAGTGGGTGGGTGAAACGCAGGCAGGGAGCAAGGGCTGCGCAGGGTGGTGGCGGACGCATGCGGGCGCAGCCGCTGGGACCTTTGGTGGAGCTCCCTATATGGCTACGAAGCGCTGTTCTGGGTGGGTGAAGCGCAGGGAACAAGGGCTGTGCTGGGTGGTGGCGGACGCAAGCGGGCAGTGCCACTGGGACCTTTGGTGGAGCCCCTATGGGGCCACGAAACGTGCGAGGGGTGTGCCAGAATGGTGGGTGGAACCGCATGCCAGCGCAGCCACTGGGGCCTTCGGTGGAGCTCCCTATGGAGCACGAAACGTGTGAGGGGTGTGCCGAAATGGGGGGTGGAACCGCATGCGGGCGCAGCCACTGCGGCGTTCGGTGGAGCTCCCTATGGGGCCACGAGACGTGTGAAGGGCGTGCCGAAAAAGGGGGTGGAACCGCATGCGGGCGCAGCCACTGGGGCCTTCGGTGGAGCTCCCTATGGGGCCACGAACCGTGTGAGGGGTGTGCCGAAATGGGGGGGGAACCACATGCGAGCGCAGCCACTGGGGCGTTCGGTGGAGCTCCCCATGGAGCCACCCACGAAGCGTGTGAGGGGTGTGCCGAAATGGGGGGTGGAACCGCATGCGAGCGCAGCCACTGGAGCGTTCGGTGGAGCTCCCTATGGGGCCACGAAACGTGTGAGGGGTGTGCCAGAATGGGGGGTGGAACCGCATGCGGGCGCAGCCACTGGGGCCTTCGGTGGAGCTCCCTATGGGGCCACGAAACGTGTGAGGGGTGTGCCAGAATGGGGGGTGGAACCGCATGCGGGCGCAGCCACTGGGGCCTTCGGTGGAGCTCCCTATGGGGCCACGAAACGTGTGAGGGGTGCCAGAACGGGGGGTGGAACCGCATGCGGGCGCAGCCACTGGGGCCTTCGGTGGAGCTCCCTATGGGGCCACGAAACGTGTGAGGGGTGTGCCAGAAGGGGGGGTGGAACCGCATGCGGGCGCAGCCACTGGGGCCTTCGGTGGAGCTCCCTATGGGGCCACGAAACGTGTGAGGGGTGTGCCAGAATGGGGGGTGGAACCGCATGCGGGGCGCAGTGGGGCCTTCGGTGGAGCTCCCTATGGGGCCACGAAACGTGTGAGGGGTGTGCCAGAATGGGGGGTGGAACCGCATGCGGGCGCACCACTGGGGCCTTCGGTGGAGCTCCCTATGGGGCCACGAAACGTGTGAGGGGTGTGCCAGAATGGGGGGTGGAACCGCATGCGGGCGCAGCCACTGGGGCCTTCGGTGGAGCTCCCTATGGGGCCACGAAACGTGTGAGGGGTGTGCCAGAATGGGGGGTGGAACCGCATGCGGGCGCAGCCACTGGGGCCTTCGGTGGAGCTCCCTATGGGGCCACGAAACGTGTGAGGGGTGTGCCAGAATGGGGGGTGGAACCGCATGCGGGCGCAGCCACTGGGGCCTTCGGTGGAGCTCCCTATGGGGCCACGAAACGTGTGAGGGGTGTGCCAGAATGGGGGGTGGAACCGCATGCGGGCGCAGCCACTGGGGCCTTCGGTGGAGCTCCCTATGGGGCCACGAAACGTGTGAGGGGTGTGCCAGAATGGGGGGTGGAACCGCATGCGGGCGCAGCCACTGGGGCCTTCGGTGGAGCTCCCTATGGGGCCACGAAACGTGTGAGGGGTGTGCCAGAATGGGGGGTGGAACCGCATGCGGGCGCAGCCACTGGGGCCTTCGGTGGAGCTCCCTATGGGGCCACGAAACGTGTGAGGGGTGTGCCAGAATGGGGGGTGGAACCGCATGCGGGCGCAGCCACTGGGGCCTTCGGTGGAGCTCCCTATGGGGCCACGAAACGTGTGAGGGGTGTGCCAGAATGGGGGGTGGAACCGCATGCGGGCGCAGCCACTGGGGCCTTCGGTGGAGCTCCCTATGGGGCCACGAAACGTGTGAGGAGTGTGCCAGAATGGGTGTGGGAGGGGGAGGAGGGGGGAGGAAGGGGAGGAGGATGAAGGAGGAGGAGGAGGAACGCGGGGCGACGTCTCTTCAAAACGAGGACCCAACACCACAGGATGGCTGGGAAATAATAACAAGAGAGCCTCTGACCATAATAGCACGGTGAGGGCGCGCAGCACAGGTTCGGCCCCAGTCTGGGTACCAGGGGCGAAGAGTATGGGTGGTCTGGCGGATACATCTGCAAAGCAGGTCCCCTTTAGATCCCTCGTGTTGTCGACCTCCCAAACTTGGGTCCCCTCTCATAGGGTTGCGTTGCATCTTCGGGGGGCCTCGCCTGTCCCCCAAATTGGTGTCTTCTCATATGTGCCCGACGCGGGCCCGACGCGGACTCGACGCGGATCTGGCGTGGACTCGACGCGGAGTCGACACGGATTCGACACGCATCCGACGAGTACGACACGGATTCGGCACAAACTCGACGCGGACAGGGCCGCGACGGGACAGACAAGGTCCCCCGAGGATGCAACATAAGCAGGGTTAGGGTTTTAAGTCGGGCGTGTCCCTCTACAGGAGGAATATTCAAAAAACAGTCCAGACATAGTCTGGGGACGTTTTTCTGTTGGGGGGGGGTATTTTTGGAGTATTTATTCGATTTGTTGTTGATTTTTTTTGAAATGATAAGTCGTCCAAGCTCTCCCTGCAGGAGGACACGCCCGACCCGAGGGCAGGGCCTCTTCGCTGCGCCAGCGCCAGGCCCGCCTGCCTCCGGCCGCTCCCGCCGCGGTCGCAGAGCGAGCCGGCCCTCGAGGGCCACGGCCCGCAGCCGAGCTCCCCCGGGAGGCCCGCGAGGGCGCCGCCCGGGAGGCCGGAGGCCCGCGACGCGAGGCCGCCGCGGCAGGACGATGGGGCGCTGGCCGCCGCCAAGGCCCCCAGGATAGGGCGACGAGGTCTACAAGCACCTGTCCACTGCCCTCCTCCTCCCCCTCCTCCTCCTCCTCCTCCTCCTCCCTCCTCCTCCATCCTCCTCCTCCTCCTCCTCCTCCTCCTCCTCCTCCTCCTCCTCCTCCTCCTCCTCCTCCTCCTCCGCACTGCTCCTCCTCCTCCTCCTCCTCCGCACTGCTCCCTGGCCAGGCCCATCCCGAGCCCAGGAGCTGTGTAGACGCCCTCCTGGCCAAGCCCGGGAGGGCGTGGCACACACACACACACACACACACACACACCGCTTCGGGATACTACAAGGATTTCTCGTCGCCCTGCAGGAGAGAGGTGCTCAGCCTCGAGGCTCCAGGGACCCTGAAGCACGAGGTGGCTCGGGAGAGAAAGATAGGCACGGACACGACCGAACGTCGATTGCCAGGTATATCTATAATTATGTATGTATGTATGTATATATATATATATATGTATGCATATATTTATATATATATATATATGTGTATGTATCCATGTATATATATATACACATACATATATATATATATATATATATATATATATATATATATGTATGCAAATTCTTATTTCTATATTTTTATAGGGCTGGGGAGCGCACACCCCAGCGTCCCCCCCAAAACGAATTTCGCCTCCTCGGGCCTGTCTGGCGCCTTGCTGTGGCCATCCTGGGGTTGTCTTGACGCCCCCCGAGTCAAGCGATAGTGTACAAACGAGAAGGCCGGAAACATGTTTTTTACTACGTTTTCTTTGCTTTTCCCACTCTCTGGACCCTGTTGCGCCAGCCTTGGGCCTCTTTGGGGCTCGTCTGGGGCCTCATCTGGAGCCGTCTTGGAGGCATCTGGACGCCTCAAGAGCCAATCGGAAGCGACAAGGCGAGAAGACAAGAAACCTGGCTTTTCCTATGATTTTCCTACATTTGTTCATCTCTGGGCCCCCCTCTCCAGGCCCTATAGGGCCAGGGAGCGACCCCAGCTTTGGACCTCTTTGGGGCTCGTCAGGGGACTTAGTTGGAGACGTCTTGGAGCTGTCTCGACGCCTCAAGAAGTGGAGGAAAAGGGAAGGGGGAGGTGAAGGAAGCGGAATGAGGAAAAGGAGGGAAGAGCAGAAAGAGGATGAAGACGAAGAGGAGAAACAGGCGGCCCCACGTCCACGCGCGCGCACGCCGCCTGCATTCGAACTCACAAGGAACAAGGTGCATGGCGCGAGGCGCCAATGCAGTCTTGTATATGTGTTTATGTATATATACACATCGTTTATATATATAGATATATATATAATATATATATATAAATGTATATATATATATATATATATATATATTTATATATATATATATATATATATATATATATCGGACCGGGGACGCTGGAAAAAGCGCCCCCCCCAACGAATTTGGCCCTCCCTGGGCCTCCGGGCAACCCTTCAGACGAGCCGGGAGAACCTCACGAGAGCCCGAGGGCGGCCCCAGAAGGGTTCGAGGCGTCCCAGCGCGCTCCCGAAACGACCCCAGGGAGCCCCAATACGGTCCACGACGACCCCCAGGAAGCCGTCATATCCCCAAAGATCGCTCCAAAACGTCCCAAGAGGCCTCCAAAAGCACTCCCGAGAAGGCCCCAAGAGGCAACAATCATGGATTTTCGGCTGGCTTTTGGTGAATTTTGGGGTTCTCCTCTTTTCGGCTTCCCGACGCTCCGAGACGGCGGTCTTCTGGGCGTCCGAAGCCGCCTGGGATGCTACCGAATCGCCCCGCAACCATCTGGAAGGGCTTCCAGGCTGTCCAAGAGAGCCCCAGAACGGCACAACAGGGGTCCAAGATGATGGCCCTGAGAGAGCCCCATGGCGGCCCAAAATGGCCCCAAGACACCCTCCGAAGCATTCCAAATCGTGACCCGGTCGTTCAGGGAGACCGCGGTTGGAGGCAGGGTGGCCCGAGGAAGCCCCCAGAGGCCACCAGAACACGCCCAGGAGGCCTCCAGAAGGCTTTACGAGAAAGCCTGGAAAACTGTTGTAAGGCCCCCAGAGGCTCTCCAAGAAGAAGCCTTCGCAAAAAGAGCTGAGAAGGATGGGGAGAATGCGCAGGGTATGGCGAGAATGAGGAACAATAAGCATCGAGGAATGATAACGAATAACACTATTATAACTGCGATGCCGGAGAAGGCAACAAGGAGTTATCGCTAAATTGTCGGCTTGACCTTCTTGCCATTCCGCTTGCATTCAAAACTTCAAGGACCAAGGTGCATGGCGCGAAGCCGCACTGCAGTCTTGTGTATATACATATAGATTCCTCTTCGAATATTATTATAGCGGACCCCCCCATGATTCCCCCCCGTACATAAATTCGGCCCTGGGCGCTCCCACCGACGTCAAATTCGAATTTCGGTTTCGAGAGCCTCTCCCAGCCATCCCCGGACAATCCCGCAAAGCCCCAAGGCAGCCCAAGACCGCTCCAGAACGGCTCATGAGCGCTCAAAGCGGCCTCAAGGTGGCTTCAAGACGGCCCAAGATGCTCTCAAGACGCCCCAAGAGGCCCCCAAGAAGACCCCCAAGAGGTCAAAATCGTCCCATTCCGTTCGGAAAGCGTTTGTTTTTAGCATATCCGCTTCTTTGGCCTTCATCGCGTCCAAGACGGCCCAAGAGGCCTCCATGATCGCCCCAGGACGGCCCAAGAAGTCCCCAAGGGAGCCCCAACACAGCCCAAAAAGGTTCCAAAATGACCAAAGAGAGCCCCAGGACGGCCCCAAAGAGCAGTAAAAGGCTTCCCAGAGAGCCCCAAGAAGGCCGCAGGAGGCCCCCAAGAAGAACCAAGAGGGCCCCAAGACGGCCCAAGCCCCCCAGGACGGCCCAAGAGGGTCCCGGGACGGCCCAGGAGGGCCGCCACACAACCCAAAAGAGCCTCAAAAGGAACCCCACGAGAGCCACGAGAGGCCATACCCCTATCAGCCATGTGAGGCCTCTCGCCCCCACAAGCCCCACGACCACTATGGTGCCTCATGGTGCCCCATGAGCCCTGTGAGGCTTGGGAGCCCTATGAGCTTTATGAGCCCTATGAGCCCTATGAGCCCGATGACCCCTTATGAGCCCTACGAGCCGTATGAGCCGTATGAGCCCTATGAGTCTTATGAGCCCTATGAGCCCTATGAGCCCTATGAGCCCTATGAGCCCTATGAGCCCCATGAGCCCTATGAGCCCTATGAGCCCTTATGAAGCACATGAACCCTATGAACCCTATGGGCCCCATGGGCCCCATGAGCCCTATGAGCCTTATGAGCCCTATGAGCCTCATGAGCTTTATGAGCCCTATGGGCTCTATGGGGCCTATGAGCCCTATGAGCCCAATGAGCCCTTTTAAGCCCTACGTACCCATGAGCCCTATGAGCTTTATGAGCCCTATGGGCTCTATGTGGCCTATGAACCCTATGAGCCCAATGAGCCCTTTAAGCCCTACGAACCCATGAGCCGTATGAGCCCTATGAGCCCTATGAGCTCTGTGACCCTGTGGGCCCCAATGAGCCCTATGACCCCCACGAACCCTATTACTCCAATGAGTCTTATGAGCCCAATGAGCCTTAAGAGCCCTACGAGCCCATGAGCTCTCCGAGCTCCATGAGCCTGATGAGCCCTTTGAGGCCTAGAAGCCCCATGACCACTATGAGCTCACGAGCCCCAGGAGCCCCATGAACTCAATGAGCCGAGCCCTATACCCCCCCGACCCTCCATGACACCATATGAGCGCGATGACCCCTATGAGGCCTATGCGCCCTATGAGCCCTAGAACCCCCTCAGCACTAGGAGCCGTGAAGCCTTGCGAGACCCATGAGACCCCCCTCTGAGCCCTACGAGCCCAGTGAGCAGTATACGGCCTATGCGCCCAATGATCCCTATGGCCCCGACTTGCCCCTTCACCCCAATCGGCCCCATGAGCTCTACGAGGCCTACGCGCTCTGTTAGCGCTATGGGCCCTCTGGCCCCCCGGAGCATTGCGAGCTCCATGAGCCCAATGGACCCCAAGAGCTGATGACTCCAGGGAGCCCCAGGACCCTTATAAGCACCATGAGCCTCCTATGACCCCCATGACCTCTGTAAAAGCCACTCAGCATTATGAGCCCCGTGCCCGATGTGCACAAACAGTCCCATGACCCCAACGAACCCCATGAGCCCTGTGAACCCTGTGAGTCTCATGACCCCCTGGAGCTGCATCGGCAGCATTACCCCTCGCATAAAAATGGGGGCTCCGAGCCCTTGGGTCCCATGACGGCAAGGACCCCTTCTGAGTTCTTTGAGCCTCAATATTCCCTGGGTCCTATCAGCCCTGTTTTCTCCATGGTCTCCATGGCCAGAACACGCCGCGGCTGTGACGACAACCGATCTCATCGCGCCTCCCTCACGCCATGCGACCAAGATTTTAAAGGCGAAGCGCAGCGAGCCGGTAAAATCTTGCGTACATGTATACACATATATGCACAAGTGTATGTCTAAGTATGTGTGGATAAATGTATATACGTATAACTATGTGTAAGTATATGTATATGCTTATATTTACACTCTTATTCATATATATATATATACACATCCGAGTGAGGGGGCCGAACGGTCATTCACTGTCCCTGGGTGCGTGGCTGAAGTGGGATCCCGCGGTGCGGATTCTTGTTGTTGTTCGTTGTGTGTTGTTTGTTGTTGTTTGTTGTCGTCGTCCCACCCGCGACCCGCCCCGCGACCCACCCGCGACCCACTCCGCGACCCACCCCGCGACCCACCCGCGACCCACCCGCGACCCACCCGCGACCCACCCGCGACCCACCCCGCGACCCACCCCGCGACCTACCCGCGACCCACCCGCGACCCACCCGCGACCCACCTGCGACCCGCCCGCGACCCACCCCACGCCCACCCGCGACCCCCCGCGACCCACCCGCGACCCACCGCGACCCACCCCGCGACCCACCCCCGCGACCCACCCCGCGACCTACCCGCGACCCACCCGCGACCCACCCGCGACCCACCTGCGACCCGCCCGCGACACCCCGCGACCCACCCGCGACCCACCTTCGACCCAAACCACGTTCAAGGTACAAACCACCATTTTCGGCGCCTGCGGCCGGCTTTTTTTGCATTCCTTCCAGGTGGAGGGCCCGCGACCCACCCCGCGACCAACTCGCGACCAACCCGCGACCCAAACCACCTTCAGGGTACAAACCACATTTTTCGGCGCCTGCGGCGGGCATTTTTCCCGGAAAGGGCGGGGGCCCAGGGTTCTCTTTTAGTTGGTAAACCTGTCCCCCGGTGCCAACTTGAAGGAGGCCGGCGGATTTTTTCCCTGATAAATATCGAGGTCGAAGGAGGCCGGCAGATTA